ACTTCAAATCATCATTATATATTAAATCTGTTACTGAGAACGAATGAAAACCACAGAGGGTGAGAACATATACTATTCCTTTCATGTTACATGTTCATATTTACATAAGATAATGTTTTTAAAATATATGATGTAGCCCTGCCTTGCACATCTTTTCAATAGCAATGATCCATGGGACTAATAGGCAATTTCAAACCACATGTGAAAGCATGTGGAAACCTCAGAGGAAGAAAAGCAGAGAAATCATACCTGATGAGTGATCAGAATCAGTGGTGGTGTCTGTGGCCTCTGTTAGTGTCTCCCTGGGTGCCTCTGAAGGGCCTGAAGTAGCTTCTTCATGTGATGTTTCATGGTCAGTAAGTGAAGGTGTCGTTATCACTGCTCCTGCAGCAATTGTGGCTGAACTAGGTGTAGGCAAACCCAGTGACTTCGTAACACGGTCAGTCAGTTGAACAGTTTCGCTTTCTGAATAGCTGGTGAATGTCTGAGATGCCTTTTGAGTTGATTTGGAGGTTCCTGAAGTTCCTGTAGATTCTCCAGTTTGTGAGCTTTGCATAAAAACAGCAGGTGTAACTGTAGAATCAGCGATGGTAACTCCACTAGAGGTCTCTGAAGGTTCAGGTTCTGGGCTGGTGGATCTCTGTGTAGACAGAAGTGGGGGGTCCGCCATAACAACACCAACACCAGTCTCATCTTCATACTCAGAGAACACAGTAGACTTAGCACTCTCAAGAAAAGTAGCCTCTGTTGCCAGTGTAAAAGATGACTGTGTGGAAGCGTGTAATTCATCCTCGCCTTTACCAGCACTGGTCTCGCTAGCTGTGTGAGTCAGAATCTGTGCTGGAGATTTTGTGATTGGCTCACTAAGTGAGGACGATTCGGTTTTGCGTCCAGATTCTTCAGTGTTTACTAATGTCAGTACAGTGGCCTCTGATTCTAAAACGCTGTCTGTTGTAACCCCAACCAGGATAGATTCCTCTGTTTTCCCGACTGCGAACATCGGTTTTGTGCTTAGAGAATCTGAGAGTAAAATGTCAGGTAGAACAGTCTTCACTTCAATGATGCTCTTGTCCTCTATTTCCTCCATTGGTTCCTCTGAGGCTGTGGGAACTGCAGTAGTAAGTTCCCCACGAATCACATCTCCACGAACGTTTGCTGCATCACCAGCCTTCTCAGTGCCAAAATCACTAATATCAAAATCTGGAAGTTTTGTTGTGGGAAAGCCTTCGTCAGATTTCACTGCCGCAAAAGGTGTGATGACAGATTCTAGTCTGTCAGGGACGTGGCTTGTTTTTGGTGGTAACATGCTTGTAGAAAACATAGAAGGGGCATCTGTTGGAGAAAGGACATCATCAGAGGTGGCCTGTGACGCATGAGAGGGACTGGCATCAGGAGAGAGAGTCTGGCCTGTGGTGGTCTCTGTGCTGAAGAATGCAGTGGTGGGGTCCATAGTGGTACCACTCTGAACTGTGACATCCACCCAGGAGGACTGGTTGAATAAAAGCTTAGAACCTAGAGTAAAAAACAATTAATTAATTAATTAATAAAAATCACAGTATTTACAGAGTATTTTGTATTATAGACAAAAGAGTGCATTTAATCCATACTGAAATATAGAACACAATTAATAATACGTAATCAGATTGCAACTTCTTGTTTACAGAAACATAAAAAGCACTATACTATAAGCAAAATTATTAAAGTAACTATTACTTTAGTTAAAAGGAAAAAGCAAAAAAAAAATTATATCCTATAATTATATGCAAATTATATATTTAAATAATACATATAAGTACAAAAAAAAATTGTTAAATAAATATAAATGTACACTACTTTTCAAAACTTTTTTTTTTTTAAATTGCAATAATATTGCACAATATTACTGTTTTTACTGTATTTCTGATCAAATGAATACAACCTTGGTGAGCATACGACACTTATGTCAAAAACATAAAAAAGTTTTATCCCCAAATGTTTGAACAGTGGTGTAGATATATATCATTATTTACTTTATTTAAGAATAATAGTAGTATTAAAATATTATGACATTTTCTTTTTGTCACATGGTTGTCTTGGTTTGATATCCAAATAATTTTTGAGGCCACTGTATCTAAAAAAATACCATGATCTCTAAATAAATCTCTGTTATGGGATCTTTCCATTTTCACACAAGCTTCCAACTGTCAGTCCATCTCTTGGGACATTATGCTTGATTGCATGATTATTATAATGAAATTATTATGAAACATCATCCCAGTATTGCTGAAACAAGACAATGATTTAATTATTCCGTTCTCAGAGTCCCAGAGAGGCCTATATTTCTAACAAATGTTGAAACATACCTAGGTGATAAAGCTTTTCAAATTGTTGCAATCTGAAAGTGATTTTCACTTTAACTCCATATAAGGATAATAAGGGCATGGTCATTTTTACACAACTTTCTAGGTACAGACAGTTCTTTGAGCATTTCATTGTATGCAGTGCTTGATTTTAAATATGTAAAGGTTGGTGTGAATAGCACATCAGATTAACTTGGCTTTAAACTATTCAGTGGATTTCTTTTAACTGAATGGTGTCAGAATGGTTCAACAACCTAACAATTGTTTTGCTAATTGAATTTCATTCACACAAACAGCTTGCATGCTCTAAATGGCTTTTAATCACCCTGTGTTCACCAAAAAAAACGTCATCTTCAAATATAACAGGCCAACTGCCAAGGCTCCAGCTGTTCTCCATTATCTACAGGCTCTCTCTATTCAGGCTGATGTCAGCCATGAGGTACTTTTTCCCTTAAGTTTGTGGGATTTGTCCACTGCTCGCCTTCATGGCGCCAGAGAGGACACCATTAGACTTTGGGCTCATACTTTAGAGAAGCTTAAAGGTTTATTAACTTGAATTAAGGAGATTCACCCCCCTCCCAAATACACACTTTCTGGTCTTGGGCTTTTTTTTTATTATTTATTTTTTTATTATTTTATATATATTTTTTTTTTTCTCATATTGATTTAGAGGCGTGTTTAAGTTTCCCTGTT